AAATGTGAATGGATTAATCAACTGAATCAAAAAGAAGAGATTTCCAGATTGGTTAATAAGACAAGATTCAACTATATACTGTCAACAGGAGACATACTATATTTAATGATACAAATGGATCAAAAGTAAAAAGATGGCAAAAGATATATATACACTAGTCATAAGAAAGTCATAAAGAGTTGCTATACTATTAACAGACAAAATAGACTTAAAAAAATAATGTTACTAGAGATAAGAAGAACAAATTTCTAATGATATAAGGGTCGATAGATTAAGGATATACAACAATTAGAAAAATATATGCATCTAACAATGCAGCTCATTCTATGAAGCCTGTATTACTCTGGTAACAAAACCAGACAAAGACACTACAAGAAAACTGGAGACCAATATCTCATGAATATAGACATGAGAATGCTCAGTAAAATATTAGCACACTTAATCCATTAATTTATGAAAAGAATTATACACCATGACTAAGAAGAATTTATCCCAGGAATGCAAGGTGAGTTTAACATGTGAAAATAAATGTGATACGACTTATCAATGGTGTAAAAGAGAAAACTCACATGGGCATCTCAATAGAAATAAAAATAAAAAAAAGCATTTGACAAAATTTAACATGCTTTATGACTAAAACACTCAACGTATTAGTAATAGAAGGCAACTTCTTCAATCTGATAAAGAGCATCTATGAAAAACCCACAAATAGCATCATATTTAGTCGTAAAAGACTGAAATCTTCCCCAAGATGAGAAAAAAGGCAAGGATGTATGCTTTCACCACTGCTATTCACCATTGTACTGGAGATTCTAGGCAGGACAATTAAGCAAGAAAAGGAAAGGAAACATTTAGATTGGAAAGGAAGAAGTAAAGCTATCTCTATTTGCAGGTGACATGATGCCCTATATAGAAAATCCTAAGCAATCCACTGAAAATCTATTAGAACAAATAAACGAGTTCATCAAGATTGTAGGGTATAAGATCACAGTATACAGAAATCAATTGTATCTCTATAAATTATCGATGAACAATTTGAAAACAAAATTAAGAAAATTCCATTTGTAGTAGTGGCATAAAGAATTAAGTACTTAGGAATAAATTAAATAAAACAAGTGTAAATCTTAATCTGAAAATTACAAAATATTGTTGCAAGTAATTAAAGTATACCGCCCCAAATGGAAAGACAGCCCATGTTCATGGATCAGAGGACTTAATATTGTTAGGATGATAGTTTTCTCCAAATTGATCTTTAGATGAACACAATCACCATCAAATTTCCAACTAGCTTTTTTTTTTTTTTGCAGAAATTAATAAGCTGTTCCTAAAATTTATGTGGAAATTTAAGTGATCCAGAATAGCAAAAACAATCTTAAAAAAGAAAAAGGTCAGAGAATTCATGCATCTCAATTTGGACCTTTCTGCAAATTAACAGCAATCAAGCCTGTTTGGTACTGGCATAAGGATAGCCTTTTAGATCAATGAAATAAACCATTTATAATAAATTGAATTTTGGTGAGAGTGCCGAAGCAGATTAGCGGTTGCCTGGGGCTGGAAGTGGGAATGAAAAGAGATTGCATATAAACATGAGCAATCTTTTGGGATGATGGAAATGTTCGAAAATTGATTTTTAGGGATGGAAGTGTTCTAAAATTGATTTTTAGTGATGATTTTATAACTAGATAAATTAATTAAGAGTTAGTCAACTGTACACTTAAAATGGGTGAATTTAATGGTATATATATTATTGATCAATTAAGCTGTTTAAACAAAAAATATACAGTTATGTTGGATATATTCTCTAATACTTGAAAATCCTAAGGATTGCTTAAGATTTTCTCATCATATGCTGGCAACAATTTAGGGAAAATCAGTTCACTCTGTTTGGGGCTAGAGGGTACAAAATCAGGAATGTGGAATATGAAATAGAAATCATTCTTAATTTTATCTATAGCACCCTCTTCTGTAGAATTCCTCCTCCCTTTGAGGATCATTCTCTTCTGTTAACACCCATCACCACCCTCTTTTCTTTATGGTCAACTTCTCCTGTACGTTGTAAAAGAGTTCAGTGTTGAGTTCACAATCTTCCTCCCCAACCCAAATCTCATTCTCATTCTGTGAGTTTTTAATAGACATGGGAATGACATATCTGACATCTAAATCTTCATAGTTTCTTGTCTCTCTTCAACCCAGTGACCTTCCTCTTTGCACCACTTTAGATAATTAGACCCATGGGCACATATTATAGCTTGTAATTAATCATAATTTCTCCGCCACTTTGTGACTCCACTTAATGAGTACAGCCTCCTTTTCTTCTTACGGTCTACTCACTTTTTTAGTGAGGGCTAGATAATAAATATATTAGGCTTGTGGATCATATGATCACTGTCACAAATACTTGACTCTGCAGTTATGGGGAAAAAACAGTCATAGGCAGTATGTAAGCAAATGGGTATGGAGGTCTTCCAAGACAAACTTTATTTACAATACCAGGCCATAGTTTTGGTCCAGGCCATAGTTTATACCCCTCTCCCCTTGGCTCAGATATAGACTTGTATAAGTATAAGCAAATTATTTTGCCTTTTGAGTCTTCTTTTCTCTATCTATATAATGGGGATAATGTTCTCAAACTCTCCAAGTTTCTGAGAGTCAAATGAGAAGATGAACTAAAAGCTCAAGTGCAATTGATGACACATAGTATTGAGGGAATTCATAATTTTTTAAAGGAGTTCTAATAAATACCTTCTCTCTTCCAGTCTGAGTTCTGAATGAGTGGAGCAACTAGAAAAGAGTAAGCAAATGGAGAACGCCCCGCCCCCTAAATTCATGATTACTTCTAAGAAAGCTGAAATTGGAGAATGTGGCTTATACCTGCAAGGCAGGTGGTCTTTCTGATGCTGAATCCCAGAATCAGAGAAGCTTACCTACCCAGTCCAGGCAGCAGTAGACAAAGCCAGGCCTTCTTGAGTACTTTCTTATGAACAATCACGAATATCCTTCCAAATGGAAAGAAATTTCAGGAATGGGTTCTTAATGTTCTGCCTAGAACAAATGTTTGTTCCCTTCCTCCACTGTCCCCAAACTGGATACTCATGTTGATAAGGTCAGAGCACTCTCTCCCACAGGGTGTTGGCAACACACCCACACAGTCTCGTGGTTTTCTCCAAGTGTGTGCCAGAGGAGTTTCTCTGAGTTTAGGTCAAACTTCTCTTGAAATGTCTTCCAAAAGCAGAGAAGAATGAACTTTAACCTTCAGAGGCCAATGGATATTGCTGAAAAAGATCTTGCTAAAGGATTAAAATTTTTTGGCAGTGTTTTTTATCTTAAAAATTCATGCAACTATTACATTTTCCCCAAGGAATGTTGAAGATTAGATTGACAAAAATTTCTAAAGCTACTTACTAATTAAATAGCTTTAATTCTACCTTCCCTCTGCAAATCATTGAGTAAAATTAACACCATAGGAAAACGCGCTATTTAGTACCTACTACTCCTCTTCTTCCAAAATGCACTCTAATACTCCCCTTATCACTGGGCAAAATGATTTTAATTTGAGAAACACAAGTCAGCTTTCTTTTAGTACATTTATTTACTCAAGGATTGGAGATTCATACCCTGAATCCACTGTGCCCATTCCTGTGGGCTGCAGGCCCACACAAGTCAAAGGCCTGGCACTCTAGCCCCAGCTCAATTGCTGATGCTGTGACCTCAGATAAGTTTTGTGGACTCTATGTCCCAGGCTCTTTGTTACATGGGGGTACTAGTTTCTTTCCTGATTAGCTCTGTAACTATTATGGAAACAAAATGAGTTAATAATATATTTTAGGGATACAAAGCATTTGTCTGTTTACTATGCTATCATCTACGTGGCTGTGCTAATTATGCTGTGGCTCAGAGCATACATTTATCATCAAGGATTTATGGAGTTACATGTTTTCACTTAATTCCACGTAGGTAAGCAGACTTCCAGGGTTTAGTTTAAGAATCTTGGATACTATAATAATTGTCACAATACTGTAGCATAAGGCAGTAAGTAGAGAGAAACATTCCTTAAAAGGAGTGGGGGAGGATTGGTGGGATCTATATCTCTTTTCTTTCAATAAAATTATTTTAGAAATTACCTACTGAATTTCTGTGCCAGTCTCCAACGCGCTGTGATCATAGTCCTGATATCCATGTGGTTTTACGAATATGTGCCTGGAGGGATTGGTGTAGATGCAAACAAACAAATGTTATATGGATATCCATATATTAAAAAGTATATGAATACATGCATGTATATCTATACACATATCCATACCTGGATATCTCTATCTCTACTTCTGTATATAGATATCTATATATACATATGTATATATATCCATATATCTGTATCTATATCTAGATATCTCTATATCTAGGTATCTCTGTGTCTATGTCCATTTCTCTCTATTGATAGCCCCGTGCAAAGCAATGAAAATTAAATATGGCTGATAAAATATGGTGGTAACATGCCATTTGGTAGGTGGCTGCATTTTGACCAGATACCACCTTCAGTGACAGTGATCCTCTCATTGACAGAATTTTATTTTTCAGGTTCTCTCCTACCCTATTACGATGCAAATTCCAGTGGGATTTAGACCTATAGCTCTTCTTTTTATGGCCTGAGATTTAATTTAAATCGTTGTTGGAGTGCTTAATGTACGCAGTTGTTTAAGCAAGAGAGTTTATAAAAAAACACTCCAAATCTTAAGATGAACCAGCCAAATCAATTCTCAGTCATTCAGGAACTATGGACAAGGGCTTCCATTTTTCTTTCCAGGTTTTCAGATATTTCTCCTGCAACTGTGGAAGTGACTAATCCCACAACAGCAAAACAAAGGCAAGAGCAAGGGAAGTGCACTATATATATAAACATGTAAGGCCTCAAACAAGTGTGACCCTGGACTGTGATTACATATATCTAATCTCTGAAACAAACTTAAGAACTCCTTCATGGCTTCTGTCTTCTGGCTCTGTAGAGTGAGCAGAAACAAGTCATTGAAAGAAAGGCTGTTATTCCAGCTGGAATGTTGTGGCCACAAATGGCATTTCAGCTTTTGATCAATGAAGCTTATAGGGAAACTCTAACCCTGAAATTAATGCAAAGACTGCTTCAACCAAAGAAACTCTGGATGGCTATAATTCCTGTGAAAGAGTATGAGAACATGATGGAGAAGATATTCATCCATTGGTGTGGTACCTTCCAACTCTTATTTGCATGCTTAATGGCAGAGACAGTAGAGAGAGCAATAGATCAATCAATGCTTTTCAAATGGTGGTAGCAACCCTTTAGGGATAGTAAAATTATTTTATTTAGACATAGAAAATAATTTTAAAATGGAATGGAATGGAATGGATTAAAATAGCGTAACTAGAAAATATCACAGTACATTTTATGTGGTAACTATTTTATGAGACGTGTGTTGTGTGTGTGTATGACCTGAATGGGCTTTGATAATTTGATATGATTTTCTTTCTGTAGATCCTGGACAAAAAATGTTTGAGAAACGCTGCTATAATTTAGTTCTTTGCCACATACTTTTAGGATTCTGGGTTTAAAAATCTAAAACTAAAATTCTGGCCACACAGCAATGACAACTCTAAAGAATACACCCTGAACTTTTATAGCAAAGTTTCTCAACTACTTTAACATGAAGAGATTACAAACCCTAGGTGGAAACAAGCTCCCTGAAAAAACAAATGGGAGATTTAGACTGAAGCCTTGGTAGGCAGTAAGACCAGTGAGGAAGGACGCCACATAATGATTGTGTGTGTGCATGTGTATAAGTGTGCGTGTATCTGAGAGAGAATTAGAGACTAGGATTTATGAGAGGGCACCACAAAAGTGTTTCTTAGGGTAAACAGTTGCTATGGGTATAAACCTTGTTATGCCCACTGAGTCTTTGATGAGAGAAAAAGCTCAGAGCCCTGATATGACTCCAAACTGAAGAGTCAACCTGAGAAGAAACCAGAATTCCTCCAAACCGCTCGATTCCCTGCCTCAGGGAGGACTGTCATTTCTGATTTCTATTAGAATATATATTGGAACTTCCTGAAAACCTAGGAGGTAGTAGCAAATAGACCTGTTCTGGAAAGTACTGAGGAGGAACCAAAGTGTAGAGAGCAATGTCATGTTTATTTGATTTAATGTGTGACTTTCTCCTGTTCTTTCTTAGAGGATACTTTGTTTCCAAATGCCACAGCTCATAAATTACTGATGATGTTGATATTTATCTTAGTTTTCTGGGTCATTTACTTGGCTTCAAAAGACCACACGAAGGTAGGAATTATTTCCTTTTCCAGAATTTCAGAGAAAGTCACAGTGACTTTGAATGCTCACTTTTCTCAAGGCAAGAATTAAAAGCCTTTCATCTTAGCAACAGATGTGGATGAAAAGTTTCTCTGTTCAGCATTAATCCCTTTGACAATACCTATGCTATTATTATTATTATTATTATTATTATTATTATTATTTCCACTGGCAGGTGGATTTTCAACCATCTCTGTAGTATTTGGCACTGCTAACCATCCTGCCTAAAAATTCTCTCTGACGTTGGCCTCTGAGGCTCCAATCCAATTAAATCTGCTTCAGCCCTCTGCCTTCACAGGAGTTTTCTTATTCTTTGCATAGTTCAGTTAGTGTTTTTTGATTTTCCCTTTCTGCAGTCTTTCTTAACTGATCTTGCTTCACTCTCTCCTCCCCCCAACCATTTAGTACAAAATTAATCTTTCAAAAATTCTGCTTTCATCATCTTGTTCTGATCAGAAACTTTCATCACGGCTTTTACACATGACATAATTGATGAGATCAACTCCTTTATTAACCATTCAAGGCTCTTCTAAATTTGAACCCAATTTCTTTTAAAAGTATCGCTCTCACTTTGGTCTAATACAAACTCCCAGCTCCAAACAAGAAGGACCATAAGTCTGAGACATTCAGACAGTTAGTTGTATGAATTGGTAAAAAATAGAGTTCTCAGACCACAGCTCAGAAGGTTTCTCTTTGTGAGTCCTCTATGTAAATATCTATGTTCCCTGCATTTCTTCCTTCAATCTTCTTCTTTTTCACACTTGTATCCTTTAATTCACATTCTCAGGTCCTGCCCACTACCAATATTAGTGTTTCCTTTTAAATATATTTTTTTTATTTTTCAATTGGAGTCGACATACACAATTATATTATTTTCAGGTGTACAACATAGTGATTAGACATTTACATAACTTACAAAGTGATCAACCAGATAAGTCTAGCACCATTTCTTACACCATACATACTTAGTACAATATTATTGACTATATTTCCTATGCTGTACTTTATATCACTGTGACTACTTTTATAATTGGAAATTTGCACATCTTAATCCCTTCCCTCTTTTCACCTATCTCCCAATGTCCCTCCCATCTGTCAATCATCAAAATGTTCTCTGTGTCCTAATTTGTTTCTGTTTTGTTTGTTTATTTTGTTTTTTAGATTTCACATATAAGTAAAATCATACGATACTTTTCTTTCTCTGTCTGACTTATTTTAATTAGCATAATATACTCTAGGTCCATCCATGTTGTCACGAATGGCAAAATTTTATTCTTTTTTATGGCTGAGTAATATTCCATTGTATATATGTACCGATTCTTCTTCATTCATTCATCTATTGATGGACACTTAGGTTACATCCATATCTTGACTATTGTAAATAATGCTACAAAGGGCCAGTTTATGGGAATGATGGAGCTAGTCTGTATTCTGATTGTGGTGGTGCTTACACAAAACTAGACATATGTTAAAACTCACAGAACTGTATATTAAATTAAGTCAATTTTACTGTATTTTAGTTAAACAAAACAAAACAAATAACAGCGTACATACACAGGTCTGTCCTCACCAGATCCAGACTTACCTAAATTCTGACTCTACTTAGAGTTAGAATATAAGTGAAAATGAGATTAGAAAATGAAAAAGATATGAAATCTGTACATGGTCACTCAACCTCATGCCTTTCCATGACTTTTGCCTCCACCTCCTTTGCTATCTCAATGTCTTATGTAAAATACCAAGATTAAAATAAAAAGAGAAGTTGTATCCTAATTTTTAAAGAGACAATAGTTTAGGGTGGATAAATTTCTCATATTAGATTGAAATAATTTTTAAAAATTCAGTGATTTGCTACTTATAAGAAGCACATCTGAAATTAAATAGGTTTATTCTATTATTCTCTTTAAACATGAATGTCCTATGTGTGAAGATTCCCCACCTTAACAATGATGAAATGAACTTCATTTAATATATAATCACATAGATAAATGGTGATATTAGGAATCAAAGTTTAATGCTTTTTTACCTGTAGCATGTAATCACTATATCTGTGTTGAAAGAAAAATCTTTATTTTTTAGGATTATCTGATGTCTTATTAAGCTATCTATCCCAAGTCTTTGGCAATCTTACTCTTAAGAGTAGTACTAAGCTGGGATTCCAGAGTTTCAAGCCCATGACTGTTGGCTAGTGGAGAAGAGCCCCAATTCCTTATTATTAGAGTTTGTCACTTCGATCTTTTAGGACCCAATGTTGGGAAATAAATCTGAAAACAAGAATTCTAAGAAATTCAAGAATAAACATATTTTAGCTCTGGGGAATCAGATGAAAACTGCTTTAGAAGTCCCAGGTCAAGAGAACAGTTATAATTTTTCAAAATTCTCCAGAATGTCTTTAACATCTGTTAGCCTCGATTCTTTAATTTGGTTATTACTGGGATCTTTATAACATAAGAACTTTAGGGAAGGTTAATGGTTCTGGGCTATGGCCATGGTTTACAGAGATATAGTGAAGATTAAGTTTTCTAAAAAGATAAAAACCCCAGAGCCAAAGATAGCTTTCCCTTCTTCTCTATCTGGTAATCTCCCTCTCATCTTTTGAGAATCAAATGTCATCAGTTCTGTGAAGCCATTCTTTAAAAACAAAACCAAAAACAGTTTTATTGAGACATAATTCACATATCATACAGTACACCCATTTAAAGTGTATAATTCAATGGTTTCTAGTATATTGCATTATTAATTGTAAAAAGTATGATCAAACATATATAACAAAACTTTTCCATTTTAACCATTTTTAAGTGTATACTGCAACAGCATTAATTACATTTACAAAGTGTACTACCATCACCACTATCTATTTTCAAATATTTTTGTCACTCCAAATGGAAACTCTGTGGCTATTAAGCAATAATTCCCATTCTTCCTCCATGAAGCCATTTTTAACTGTCCCAGGCCAAGTTTGCTAAATTTCTTTTAGATGCCCATGAAGTTCTATTACATATCTTTCAAATTATTCACTTTTTGTAGTAAGTTTGCACGTTTGTCCCTCACACTAGATTAGCCTTTCTTGGGATATAATCATATCAGCTGCAAATAATAATTGTGTGTCTTCCTTTTATAATTAACCAGAAAAAATTAAATTAAAATTATTATTATAAAGATTCATAAAGAGGGCAGAGATTAACTTTATTTACCATAATAACCATAGTAGACCTTTCTATCAGCTTGACTGAATCTAAATAGACAAAAGAATAAAAAAATTCAATTATAGAAAATATGGGAAAAATAGAATTGAATAATTAGAAAATGAAAGGGTAGAGAACAGTGTAAGATTAGACACAACAGAAGTATGTCACAAAAGAATTTTCAGTGCTTTAAGTGTTAAATACCTCTAAACATGTCAGGCAGTGAAACTGATAAATATTTTGTGTAAAATTGGGAGATTAAATGTTAGAATGTTTATTATATATATAAAGAACTGATATCAACTGAGAAATAAAAAAACATTGAAATCAAAATAAACAGTTGGACAAAGGAAATAGACCCTTTACAGGAGAAGAAATTTATTAGTAAAACAAGTATTTGAGGGAAAATAAAGTTGAAACACACTATTTAAATATGTATAATTTAAAATAATAGCAAGTCTCCATTTTCACCTAATGAATTTTCAAATAGTTTTAATGACAATGTTTTATAATTTAACTCAAAATATTTAAATTGATGAATGTCGTAAGGGAGATTTAGTCAACTGATATATGCAGTTACAAACCCTTTCTCTTGGTGAGCATGCAACTATCCAAAGTCATCGATCAGAAGACGAATTTTGTTCAAATCTTTCATTCAGGCAACTATCTTAATAGAATATGATTTATGTGACATTATATATTTGTTTTGGCATAACTAAATATCTTGTTCTAGAACAATCTTTGACAATAATTATGAGGAGAAAATAGTATACCTGGGCTTCAAGCCTTTCCACATAAATATTAAATAGCAGTCAACTTAACAAAATGAAGCAAGAAACAAACAAGTCAATGAACAAACAAATGAGTAGGTTTCCTTATCCTGGCTCATCTATTTTATTTTAGGCCACTAGCTAAGTGTATCTTCAGGGGCTTTGGTGACTCCTGGGACCTGAACAGTCTTTAAATTGTTGATAACATTTTTTTCCAGTTACCTTGTTGTCCAGGTGAATATAATAACATTTATTTATTGTCAGCTAAACAAGTATTTTATTTGACTAAATATTTGTCTTAGTACTCTTGTTAAAGAGCATTACTAATATGCTTATATTTTGTTTGCTTTAATGACCAACGAGACACTGTGTGGTATAACAGGTAGTCTTACAAATCGCTGGTGGCAATGTAAACTTTTATCTTGATAATATATTTGACAGTCAAGAAGAATAAAAATGTTTATATTCTTTGACCCATTGACTACTTAATTTAATAATATATGGTTTGGTATTTCTATCCTTAGGAATCTATCATAAAGAAGTAATCTTATGTATAAAGAGTTAAAAAATATCCAAATGTGATGTAAAAGGTAAATAAATAGATATACCCCAATGATATTAAACTTAATACCATTGGCTACACAGCCCATTTTATATCCTCTTGATGGAATATTATGCAATATTAAAAATAATCATGAAAATTATGTAACAACATTAAAATGTTTATAATACATGATATTAGCTGCAAAAAGTGTTATAACTATATTTTAATATGATTACAACTAGATAAACTATATACATGGAAGAGAAAAGAATGAGTAGACATGATAAAAAAACCATAAAGACATCAAAGCTTAGGAAGAATCATATTTTTTAAAATTTGCTATTTTTTACATCGTCTATAATATGGCTATATAATTTTTATAAAGAAAAATAAATCAGTTGAAGGGATGGCAAAGGTAAATGCTTCAATTCAATCATGCAATAATACACACTTATTTTATATAGTTAATTTTTAAGCCAAAGACTTCCAAAAGAAATCATCTGCTGGCAGCAGCAGAAGTCACATTTCATGACAATCAATTCCTTTTTTTTTTTTTTACAATATTTATCTATTATAGTTGAGTTTTTGTGACACTGTGCTTTCTAAAAAATTAGTTAATTAATTAATTTTTATTATGGTGACATTGGTTAATGAAATCCAGTAAGTTTCAGGTGTACAATTCAACAGTATATATTGCATTGTGTGTTCACCACCTATTGTTAGATTTCTTTCTGTCATCACATATTTGACCCCTTTCACCCCATGTACCTCCATCCTTCCCTTCTCCCCTATCCTCTGGGAACCACTAGTCTATTGTCCATGTCCATCAATTCTTTTAATTCTCAAACTGGAAGCTAGCTAAAATTAATTTTTGATACATAATTGTATCACACTGAAATGCATGTAAACTAAATCATAATAATTTATATTGAAAGCAAGCCATATTATTTACTGATAATATACCCTTCCCCCATAAATACTTCAGTTCTCGTTCATCTTGAAAAGCTCTATTACCCTGAATCAATGGAACATCTTCAGAATGTCTTTACCATTAAATCCAGGAGTTTCACCAGCAGAGACTGAGCTGAGAATAAAGGGAATCATGGAGAAACTAAACCAGATGATCTCACCTAGACCTTTTACCCATGTGAATACTACCACCAGTGCCGCACACAGCAGAGCCACCATCCTCAAACCTCAAGACACATACTGCAGAGGGGATCAGCTAGACATCCTGTTGGAGGTGTGGACCACTTGGGACACAGGAAGAAATATGGTGGGGATTTCCTGAAGGCCAGGGTGTCCTCCCCTGACCTGAAGGCAGGCACCACAGGAAAGGCGACAGACTTCGACAATGGCACCTACCTTTTCAGCTTTACTCTGTTCAGGGAGGGCAGGTCACTCTATTCTCCTGCTCATCCACCCCACTGAGAGGGTTTGGGCAAGGAACCAAGGCTATGACAGAGTGGTCTTCATAGACCAGTTTGCCAGTGGCACCTAGTGGATTTTCTTTGAATGTGGTCTGACCCTAAACTCAAGTGCTGGACTGTGCAAGTACCTGGGTGAGGAGACCAAAAAGCCTTCTACTGCATGAGGCCTCTACATGTTCCCTGTGAGGCCCTGATCCATGTGACCACCAGAAATAAAAGAATTTCTTATCTTAGAAAGAACAGAGCCTTTTCCACAGGTAACCAGCTTTCAAATACAACAATTGATACAAAGAGGTAGACTTGGTTCAGACCATCTATTCCTGATAGCTTTTTCTATTCAAACTCTTTTATCATGTCAATGAATGTTGAGTAGGTTTAATTAGATCCATTGTTCAGAGTCAGTTTAGCTGGTAAATAATCACAGGGTCCCATACAGGTCATCTCTACAACCGTGGTTTTATTCATCCTGAATATGTGCTAAAAAGAATATAACCAATGAAGTACTTTACATATGCCTATAGTTCTCTATGTTTTATAATACTTCCAGATTAAGTAATTTTGTCTAAATGACTATTTCCTATAATGTATTCCATGGAATACCAATCCTGCAAAGTATTATATGCAAAATAAGATATGCAGAATAAAAAGGGGGTGGATAGTGTCATGATGCAGTCTACTTTACTCTTTATAGGAAATGAATCGCTAAATCCTACGATTGCATCTTCCAAAATCTCCTGAACCCAGCCATTTCACTTATTGCTGTGCCTTTGTCCTTGAATAATTATCATCATTATACCTCAATTAATTATTGTAACAATCTCCAGAGCTGGGTTCATTGCCTACAACCTTGTTTCCTTCAATCTATTCTTTACATTACACCCAGACTAATATTTCTAAAATGCATATGACTTTTCCTTTTCCTTGCTTAAAACACTTATTATGATCACGTTACTTTGAGCATGAAATCCAAACTCTTTAATATGTTTACAAGGACTTGTCTAGCTCTGCAGACTCTCGCTTTTATGCTGCTTTGCTCTCTATCAGTCAAATTGAACTCTTTTTATTTCACAAATGGACCATGTTCTCTCTCAGCTCTGGCACTTCATGTGCTTTGGGTAGACATCATTTCTTCCATGTCTGGGTAAAGTGCTAGTCCCTTATTCTTTCATTGCATTCTGTTCTTCCCCAATCATAACACTTATTACATTATTAAATTTTCAATATCTTTTTATATCTTTTGCTAAAGTGTAAGCTCTGTGAGGCAATAACTATAACTATTTTTCACAATTCATTCAATTTATAAATAGTTGGTAACACCTATATTTCAGACACAACTCTAGGTGCTTGGAATTCAATATTATAGTGGGGGAGAAAGACAATGAATATAAATATATTTGTAACATAAAGTCATCAGAATAAGGGATTCGAATGTGATGGTGGGTGCTATTTTAAAAGAGTGGTCAGCTATGGGCAGTGAACACACAATGCGAGATATATATATATATATATATCTGAATCAATGGATAAAAGGAGGCAAATATGTGGTGACAGAAAGAAATCCTACTATGGGAGGGGAATACACAATGCAGTATATATATACCTTACTGTTGAATTGTACACTTGAAACTTACTGGATTTTGTTATCCAATGTCACCATAATAAAAAAATAATAAATAAATAAATAAATAAATAAATAAATAAATAAATAAGAGTTGTCAGGTAAGGCAGCAACCTGAGAACGAGTCATTTAAACAGCAACCTAAATGAAATGAGGAAGTGAGCTATGTGAATTTTGGAGCAAATACTATTCCTAAGAGAAGGAATAGAATCTGAGGCAAGAGCATGCTGGGATGTTCCAGGAATCCTGAGGGGGATCACTGAGGCTGAAATGCAACAAGTGAGGGAGAGATGAGGTCAGATGGGTAGGTGGAACCTTAGAGGTCATCTGTGTTTGATAGGGAGCCATTGAGGCCTACCATTTTGTCTCACAGACTTAGCACAATGCCTAACACCTAGAAGGTTCTCAATAACTGTTGAGTGAAAGAATAAGTGACATAAAATCTGGGAAAATAATTAAATAGTTTTCTTTGCAGCAAGCCCTCTCAGTAACTTTAGTATCTATCCCTTCAAGTGTGGATAAAGCATAAAACATTTCCCCAAGTTACTTGACCAAGGAACATGCATTTAATGGAGAATTTTAAGTGACTTTTGTTTCACAGTTTTGGAGCTGCTGCTATAGAAAGGCCTTGGTTTTCCGATGCGCGTTCAGAAGAGCAAGCTGTATAGCATAATATCCTTAAAATACAAGTTCAAATCCAATTCAATTATTATGATGATGCAAGGTCAGAGGGCACGGCAGAACTGACCCTACATTTCTACAAGATTTTCCTTTTGACCTTATCTCACTTTCTCTTCTTTTTGTTTTCCTGATCAAGGTATGGAAAATCTCTTTTCTAAATAAATATTTTACTAATAACAAAAGGAATAATGATCATGGAGACATAGAGGCCTTTCTGTCTTGAAGGCTTCAGAACCATGTGTTAATTCTAAGGGAAGAGAATACGTGTTCTGACTCCTTATTTCCTGTTGGCCACATCTGGCTCCCTCGTGAAATGGTCCTTGTTGCAGCCTATGTGGAAAGAACTCTCCTTGCACACTCTCCCTGCTGCTATCAGGAAATCCTAAGTCTCTGATCTGGCAGATCTGCATATATTTTAGGTCCCATCATGCTTCTCAAGAGGGCTATATAGTGACAATAATCCGTCTGACCTTGTTTTACTTTCCAATAAACACATTTCCTTCTGGATCCCCTGCTCTATTTAAACTGTCCAGTTTTTTCTCCCCACTGCATGGAAGCAGAGATTTGAGTCTCCTCATAGGTGATTTAGTGTATAGACGCTATACAAGGAATACTTGGCCTCACAAGTGATTCCATATACAAGAAATCTCATGGATCATTTTATTGCTAAGCTCTAGGGCCCCTACTTAGGTCCAAGCCAGGTTCAATGACATCATTTGTTCTCACAAGTCCATAGACTATGCCTGTTTCACTTTCATTTGTAACATAGTAAATATATTTTCCCATCAGGGTTTTCTCTCCCAACCCTGGCTACAGAATCAGATGCTATCTCCTCAGATACTTCTTCAAAATTAAAAAAAGTATTTTTTTCTTTGATTTAAGAGTTTTATTGATAATCATAATGAGAAAATATAAACAAAGGTTTACCCCATGAGAAGACTTTATATAGACAACATAATCATCGACAATTCTTTCAGTTTCTATTATGGTTTAATATTACAGACCCCTTTCTGCAATATAATATATACAGACACACACATGCATACTCAATATGAAGACAAGACACATGGAAACGAATGCCTTTATGCCATGAGTGCATATTTTTCATTCTAATTTTAATGTTCCATCAAAGTTTGATTTTGGTAACCAAATTTACAGGGCCAGGTATTTATCTCTTTTATCAATTTCAACCTTACCTGGAATAGATGTGGAGGAATACATGTTTGAACAAGTGCAAGTTTTCCACTGTGACAAATTTTAATCTTGTGCCAAAGATAGGCGTGATATGATTCTCAATAAAACCCTTTGTAGTGATTATTATTATGCCCATTTTACACATGTGGAAATTTAAACACAGACATATTAAATAGCTTAGCCAAAATCACATATATAGTAAGTTGCAGAAGTCAGAATTGGAATCCCAATCTACCTTATTCTAAAGTCAATGGGGTATAGCACTGTCTCCCATAACTCCATCACTTCATGCAGCCATCACTGTCCAGCTACTCTGGACTCTCAGTTCTCCAGTCCGCTTGCCCCTTAGTGAGGAGAATATTATTCTCACCCGACCTAAAAAAGTCCTTTCCTGGGATTCAGGCAATCCTTTTCAATTTTGGAAAATACTTCCTTTGTCCCCTCTGGATCTGGAAGTCCTCCCTTTCTCGGATATATTTCATTTTAGTAGAATGAATTTGATTTGACCTGATAGAGCCACCATCTTAATTGGTAAGACCTATTATCTTGAGGTGAAGCTCACTGTGCTAGACACTTGAAATATTATAGTAAATAAGATTGACCTAAGTTCTACTTTCAAGGAGATAATAGAGTATGTAAAATAGACTCCTGAGGAGCTTGTGAAGGTGCGGAGAACATGAAGATGAGACTGGAGAAGTAGACACTAATACAAGGTTGTATGCCAGTTAGGGAGACTGGTCCTTATACTGTAGGTTGATGAAGGAAAATCATGGAAAGATTATGTGTGTGGGAATACAGTAGGCAGCATAGAGGATATATTTAGGTTGGGTAAACCAAAGGGGCAGAAAGGTAATATAATAATCTAGGACAGGGTTCTCAAAGTAATGTCCTTGGGTAAACAGGCTCAGCTTCATCTGAGAGCTTGTCGAAAATCCAAATTCTTCAACCTCACCCCAGAACAATTTTTCCAGCTTTATTAAAGCATGATTGACAACTAAAATTCTATATATTTAAGGTGTACAATGTGATGTTTTGATATACTTATATATATATAGTGAAATGATTACCATAATCAAGCTGATTAGCATATCCATCATCTCACAGTTACTATTTTGAGTGAGAGTGTATGCATGTGGTGAGAACACTTAAGCTATACTTTCTTAGCAAATTTTAAGTATACAATACATTATTATTAACTATAGTTACTATGCTTCACATCGGATCCCCAGAACTTAGTCATCTTATAGCTAACAATTTATACCCTTTGACCAATAGCTCTCCATTCTGCCCAATCCCTAACCCCTGGCAAGCACTAGTCTACTGTTTCTATGAGTTTGGCTTTTCAAAATTCCACAAGAAATGAGGTCATGCAAGTATTTGTCTTTCTGTATCTGACTTATTTCACTTAGCATTATGTCCTCCATATTTTACATATAGACCACATTTACTTTATCTATTCATCTATTAATGGACACTTAGATTGTTTTTATAACATGACTATTGTGAATAATAGCCATGGCTGTTACAAATATGAGGTGCAGATATCCCTTTAAGTGCCCAGGTTTTTTTTAATCAAAAGCTCTAGAGATGAGGTCCAGCAATCTGAGTGGTATTAAGCATTCCTGATCATTCTGATGCATGCTCAAATTTGACAAGCACTGGCCTAGGAAAATGTCAATGAAAGCCTGAATTACTACAGGTGGTAAAGATGAAGAGAATGGCTTGTTTAAAAAAAAATTAGAAGGTAAAAAACACACACACACATATATGTATAGTAAAAAACTATAAGTATATATATATATAGTAAAAACTATATGTGTGTGTGTATATATATATATATATATATATATATATATATATATATATATATATATATATATATATATATTTTTATTTGTACACATAGTGTGTGTGTCTCTCTTTATTAATTGCACATGGAATGTAAGTGACTCTTTCTAGATCCCTGGATTCCTGTCATTAGCAGAACAGTTTTCCAGAATTCTGACCCATTTACTTCCCCAGAATCTCTCAAATATATTTAAACAAACAAACAAACAAACAAATAAATAAAAGCATTTACAGAAAGTTAAGAGTGATTCAATCCAGCTAAGCTAGTTATTTATTTGTACTTTAATATCTGGACAGATATCAGGCTAACTTATTTTCTCATTTTTTGAAGGTCCAATGTGGGAGTTGAATTGATGAAAATCTTTACCTCCATCGAGGTCTTATCATATAACAGTAAGTCTATTGAGCTGTTGCCTGTCATGTTCACAATTATTCATTTAAAGCTCATTCTTACTTTAAGATATATATTTTTAAAATTTTAATTAGCTTCAGGTATACAGTACATTGGTTAGATATCTATATAGTTAATAAAATGATCCCCCCAATTGCTTCCTCCCTCTTCTGACTCTTCACCTAGCCAATGTATTAATGCTAATTGCATTCCTTATGCCGTGCTTCCCATGCCCATGACCATTTATCAGGTCCTAATTTGTACTTCTTTAACTCTTCACCCCATTCTCCCAGCCCCCCTCATCCATTTTCCCTCTGTCCATCACCAAATTGTCCACTATATTTGTGAGTCTGTTTTCGATTAGTTTATTCTTTTTATTTCTTAGATTCCGCATGTAAGTGAAATCATATAGTGTTTATCATTCTCTGTCTGACTTAAATGCCTTCTAGGTTCATCAAAGCAATATCTTTTTCCATTCCCTTCCTTTTCATATGTAAGAGTCTTGTTTTCTTATCCTTTCAGCCACTCTATCTTTTGGTTGGAGCACTTAATTATTTTCCATTTGAGGTACTTATTGATAGAAATGTAGTTGTTACCATTCTTTATTCCTGTTTTTGATACATGCTTTTTCTTCTTAAAGAAGTCCCTCCAACATTTCCTGTAATACTGGCTTGGTGG